CCAGTATATATACACCGCCATTTGTAGATGCTATGACTTTCCCTTAAACCAAATTAATTTACACGTATTGGGATTTTTTTTTTTATAACAAAGACATGTAGTTGAATACATTTTAGCCAAAATTTATGACAAAATTTGATTTTTAAAATTTTTTTTACTGGATATCTTTTATAGCAAAAGTTAAAAAACATTTTGTTCTCAAAATTGTCGGTCTTTTTTTTTATAACGCAAAAAATAAAAAAATGCATAGACGATCAAATTCCATCAAAAGAAAAAAAATTGTGAGAAAAAAAGGATGTAAATTTCATTTGGGTGCAGCGCTGCATGACCGCGCAATTGTCAGTTAAAGTAACGCAGTGGCGTATCGCAAAAATGGTCTGGTCAGGAAGGGGGGGGGGGGGGTGTAAATCCTCTGAGGGCAAGTGGTTAAAATTAGCTTCTGAACCTGTGTAATTAATATGTGTTCTGTTTTAAAGGGAAGAGGTGGCAACCCTACATTTAGGGCGGTTTCACACCAGATGCAGTCTAGTATGTTGTTATTCTGCATCAAAAAACGCATGGACAGTGTTTAACATGGATTCAGGGGCGGACTGGCAACTCATGCGGCCCCGGGGCAATAGGGGTTCATGGGGCCCGTATCCTTACCCAAACTCAAAAAAGCCCATGAAAAAAAAAGGTACCAGGGGCATCTCATGGGGCCCCCTACTGACCCCGGGCCCTCGGGCAGTGCCCGAGTTTCCAAATGGTCAGTCCACCCCTGCATGGATTCCAATGGCCCTAGTTCACACAAGTGCAGAGTGTTCCAGTGCAGTCAACAAAAGTAGAGCATGTTGCACTTTTTTCTGTATGGAATGCATAAAAACGCATGAAAAAAAACACACTGGAAGGCACATGTGCTCCACTGAGATTAAGGGAAAAAAAAAGGGAGGGGAAAAAAGAAAAGCACCAGAAGGCATTATTAATGCAAAAATTAAGCGGTAGTAAACTGCCCATTAAACATCCTAAATAATGGGCCCCTGCAGTTTTAGGTCATAATGTATGACAGACTTACCAGTACACGGAGCCCTCCAGCACCACGCTGTCACGACTCCCTGATGTCACCTTCTTCATCCAGTCTTCCTTCCAGGTTCGCAGGCTCTGGCAGTATAAATGGCTGGAGCCGTGATGACGTCACTCCTGCACATCGCACGGAGCTCTGAAGGGACAGAACGCATGATCCGGTGGCATTACATGTTGCATGCTTAGGAGATATTCACACAGCATGCAGCTGGTAATGTCACCGGAGCATGCATTCTGTCCCTTCAGAGCTCCATGCCGTGCCCATGTGCGGGAGTGACGTCATCGCGGCTCCTATAGGCTTACCTGTAGGTACAACTTAAAAAGAGGACTTTACTTTCACTTTAATCCTGAACTGGTGTATTCGTTGCTGCCAATGGAAAAACTTCTGAATTCTACTAAAGTCTTGCACCCAATAAAGCTTCATTAATAAACGCTTCGCACCCACTGACACCGTATTAGTTATTGCTTTGAGATTTTTTTTTTTTAAACAGGAAAACAATTAGTGCAATAAAGTGCAATCAGAGAAATGTACCTATGATGAATCCTAGGAGTAGAAATCCGACCGCCCCGAGGGCCAGCATGAAGAGGATGCGGGAAGAGAACCCTTTAATCCTGGTGCCCACCTCGTAGTCATCGCTACTCAGCAGTCTCAACATTTTCAGTTCTAGCTCTCCGGATGGTGTTTATACACAGAGGCCTCACACAGGGAGGAAGAGGAGATTGCTTGCCAGCATGTGAAACTCCTGCCAGACCTTGAAAGTTAACAGCTTCCAAAAGAAGTTCACCTAATTAATGCTGGACCCTCCCTTCCTCATAGGCATGCCTGGCTGAGCAGGTCAAAGTTCCCTGAGAAACCTCATGCATAGATTAACTTGCAAAGAACAGAGTTCTAGTGAAGCTAATTCAATGAGAGCTAACCAAGCAATTTTTAAAGATCGAGGTGGAATTCACACTTCGTGCTGCAGAAAGGTTTTGTGCATTTTAAATGTCATCACAGGATCTTCTGCATTTTCCTGAATGCCTTTTGTATGCTCTTGCCATAATAATAAAGTTTCTCTATGCTGATCTTATGGTTTCCCACAAATAAACACGTACAAAAAAAAAAATAAAAAAAAAATGCCAGTATAAAATTTGATAACACCAATTGTTTCTTGAACTTTTGGCAAAGATAAAGTGTGGGCAGCACAGTGGCTAAATGGTTAGCACTTCCTCCTGGCAGCACTAGGGTCATTGGTTCAAATCCCAGCCATGGCACCACCTGCCTGGAGTTTGCATGTTCTCCCTGTGCCTGCATGGGTTTCCTCCCACACTCTAAAGACATGCTGGTAGGTTAATTGGATCCTGTCTAAATTGGACCTAATATGTATATGAATGTAAGTTAGAGACCTTAGATTGTACACCCCTTGAAGGTTAAGGACTGATGTGATTGTACAATATATATGCGTAAATTGACAGCGCTTTATAAGTACCTAAAATAAATAAAATAGTATACGTTCTTATCAGTTTCCATGATGGGTGCTCCACTGTCACCTTCTGGCAGGAATAGCTGGCTGTAAAGTACCCTTGCTGGTATTTACTACAACTACTTATATAGCGCCATCAATTTATGCAGCATTTTACATATATATATATATAAATACTACATTCACATCAGTCCCTAACCCTCAAGGAGCCTACAATCTAAGGTACCTTACTTACATTCATACATACACATACTAGGGTCAATTTAGGCAGGAACCAATTAACCTACCAGCATGTCTTTGGAGTGCGGGAGAAAACCCACTCAGGCACAGGGAGAACATGCACACTCCAGGCATGTATTGCCATTGCTGGAACTCAAACCAACAAGCCTAGAGCTGCCAAGCGGAGGTGCTAACTATATGATGGGGTTCTTGAGGAATCTTCCTCATGGGTAGGAAACTGAATTAAGCGCCCACTGGGTAAGGTGGGAGTCGGGAGTATTTCTCTAATGTGGAGGATACTGAAAGGACCCAGTGCCTCCCAATTTGAGCAGTGCTACTTGGTCTTTCTGCGTGCGGGGAAAGCAGAGTTCCCACGGTGCTAAGATCTTCCTGAGAGTAGGGACCAGGGGCGGACTGACAACTCATGGACCCCCCGGGCAATAGGGGATCATGGGGCCCCTGTGTCCTTGCCCAAACTCAAAAAAGCCTATGAAAAAGGTACCAGGGGCATCTCATGGGGCTCCCTACTTACCCCGGGCCCTCGGGCAGTGCCTGAGTTTCCAAATGGTCAGTCCGTCCCTGGTAGGGACTGAAGATTGCTCTGAGTATCACTATGGGTTTGGGAACCCACTTGTGAGAATGTACATTTGGCCACGACACCACATGATTTTTTCTGCACTTCGCCTTATGGGCTAGGCCTTTTGGCCAAGACCGGGCAATTTGTGTTACAAAGTCCTAGCCATTGTATCAGACACTGTCACTTTATTTATTTTTCTTCACATTTGTTGCTGCATTTCATATGAGTTTCTTTGTCACTCACTAAGGTAAGATGCTGATCTTTGGTCTGTCCTGAAGTCTGGGTGAAGGATGTGTGACTGTAGACTGGATATGTTCCTTGCCTAGGGAAGGGAATCTTTCATTGGGAGAGCCCCTTATCTAGTGCTTAGTGGTTTGCTTCAGCTAGCCACAAAAGAGGGATCCACCAGGCCTTTTGGCTAGGTACACCAGAGTGCCTCGCCCTGGGCAGGAGGCTCACAGCCCGAGGGGTCAGGGGGTCTGTCATGGCTCCCGTTATGACCAGAGGTGTGTGGACTGACACAGGGAAACGCAGGCTTCAGGAGTGATGTATAAGACTATAATTTATTAGGAACTACACAAGTATACAACGCACAGTACAAACAAAACCAAACCTCCAACTGATGTCAGTATGTTCAGGAACATAGACAGGCGTAGTCAGGCTGGAGAGGTAGAGTGGTCAGGCAGGCCGGGTCAGGAACAATCGGGCAGACAGGGTACAAACGGAGAAGGCAGGAGAAAGGTCAGGAATAGCCGAGGTCAGTGCAGGAGGAGTTCGATCAGTGTCAGAGTCAAGCAGGGGAAGCAGGCAGGCAGGCAGGCGACAGGACCAGGTACAGGGGCTCATGGGAAACAAACTCCAAGGCACTGACTGCAGGCCTGGCCATTGCTTAAATACACCTCCTGCAATCAGCCTCAGGTGATGGCTTGATTGCAGGAGTGAGATTCTGGCTGCTGAGCGCACCCGCTGGCCAGCACTGGTACTGCAGCCCACAAGGCACCACCTGTGCTGAGCCTATTCCCGACAGTACCCCCCCCCCCAAGGAGCGGCCTCAGGACACTCAAAACAGTCCATAATGGCCCCAATGTTCCACCACCAGGATCCGGTAACTGGCTGGACATCCCACTGCCGGAATCAAGTGACTGTATGGGTCTCCTGCTGATAGGCCTATCTTTTTGCAGGAGACCGCAGGAAGGCAGGTTGCTGGACACAGGATTTCCAGAAGCAGGCTAAGCATCAGGAGCTGGCACGTCAGGCTAGGCAGCGGACAGAGGCACGTCAGGCTGGGCAGCGGACAGAGGCACGTCAGGCTGGGCAGCGGACAGAGGCACGTCAGGCTGGGCAGCGGACAGAGGCACGTCAGGCTGGGCAGTGGGCACCGGGACATCAGGCTGGGCAGCAGGCATCAGGACATCAGGCTGGGCAGTGAGCAGAGGCACATCAGGCAGAGCAGCGGGCACCGGGCCATCAGGCGGGGCAGCGGGCACCGGGCCCTCAGGCGAGGCAGCAGGCACCGGGCCATCAGGCGAGGCAGCGGGCACCGAGGCATCAGGCACAGCAGCGGGCACCGAGTCACCTGACACGACAGCGGGCACCAAGCCATCTGGCACAACAGCGGGCACCAAGCCATCTGGCACGACAGCGGGCACCAAGTAATCTGGCACGACAGCGGGCACTAAGTCATCTGGCACGACAGCGGGCACTGAGTCATCTGGCACGACAGCGGGCACCGAGTCATCTGGCATGACAGCGGGCACCGAGTCATCTGGCATGACAGCGGGCACCGAGTCATCTGGCAGAATAGCGGCCCCTGAGTCATCTGGCAGAACAGCGGGCTCCAGGTCACCAAGCTCGACAGCGGGCACCAAGTCATCTGGCACGACAGCAGGCACTGAGTCATCTGGCACGACAGCGGGCACCCGGGGCACCAAGCTGGACCACAGGCACCGGGGCGCCAGGCTGGACCATGGGCACCGGGGTGCCAGGCTGGACCACAGGCACGGGGGTGTCAGGCTGGACCACGGGCACCGGGGTGTCAGGCTGGACAGCGGACACCGGGGCATCAGGCTGGATCAGATCATCAGGCTGGATCGGGTCATCAGGCTGGATCGCCGACATCGGTTTCTCAGGCTGGACAGCGGGCACCGGGTCATCAGACTGGATAATGGGCATCGGGTCATCAGGCTGGATATGATCGTTAAGCTGGGTAGCGGGCACCAGATCATCAGGCTGGATAGGATCATCAGGCTGGGTAGGATCATCAGACTGGGTAGTGTACACTGGGTTATCAGGCATCAGGGCATCAGGCTGAACAGCGGGCACCGGGGCACCAGGCTGGACAACAGAAGGCAAGTTCTCAGACAGCAGGCTGACCGGTTTGGATACTGGCAGGATGGTACTGGTTAGAAAGAATCTTCGCTTCTTCTTGGGTTTAGTTACTGAAGCACTGCAAGTAAATGCAGGGCTGTAAACGGAGGGAGCAGCTAAAGACAGAGAAGAGCTGGAAGATGGAACAGAGAAGGGAGAAGTTTCTACAGAGGACTTCTTTACAGGGTTAAAGGCAGGATAGGTGCAGCGAGTGGGAACAGGGTACTGACATGTGGTAGATAGCAGGGTATATTGGGCTGTCACTGGGGGTGCTGTCGGGAATGCAGGAAGAGAGCTTTGAGCAGAGGAATGATTAGAAGCAGGACTGGGTTGTTGCAAGCTGACTGAGGCTGGGTGTAACAAATCTGACCATGTCTGTAGTACTGGTTGAACAAAGCTCAGCTTACACATAGCCTGTCTGACCAAAGACTGCACTACATTTATACAATCCACTAGCACATGTTGTGAACATGCTGAATAATGCTCAAAGAAGCAATCTGGATCATCCTCCAACAACCATACCAGTGATTCTACTTGATCCGTACTGAATGGTGGAAAAAAGTCATTCCTGCCTTCAGGGGTAATAGATGAAGCCAACTCAGCACAAGCCTGAATCAATGGTTGCACCTCAGAGAACTCCATGCCCTGATCTACCAGGAAATGAGCGACCCATATGCACTCTAGCAGCTGATCCCTGGCATACTCCTTCACAGTCCGATAGGCATAATCTCTGTCATCTAAGACTAGCAGATACAAGTACACATCCTCCTCAGGATGCATCCTTCACAACAACAAGCCAAGATGGCTTCCTTGTGCAGCCACTTCTGATCAGGACTGGCCTTGGTGTTATGTCAGGGCTCCCGGTATGACCAGAGGTGTGTGGACTGACACAGGGAAACGCAGGCTTCAGGAGTGATGTACAAGAATATAATTTATTAGGAACTACACAAGTATACAACGCACAGTACAAACAAAACCAAACCTCCAACGAATGCCAGTATGTTCAGGAACACAGACAGGCGTAGTCAGGCTGGAGAGGTAGAGTGGTCAGGCAGGCCGGGTCAGGAACAATCGGGCAGACAAGGTACAAACGGAGCAGGCAGGAGAAAGGTCAGGAATAGCCGAGGTCAGTGCAGGCGGAGTTCGATCAGTGTCAGAGTCAAGCAGGGGAAGCAGGCAGGCGACAGGACCAGGTACAGTGGCTCATGGGAAACAAACACCAAGGCACTGACTGCAGGCCTGGCCATTGCTTAAATACACCTCCTGCAATCAGCCTCAGGTGATGGCTTGATTGCAGGAGTGAGATTCTGGCTGCTGAGAGCACTGGTACTGCAGCCCACAAGGCAGGTGAGCCCCAGCACCACCTGTGCTGAGCCTATTCCTGACAGGGTCCTTCCTCTTTGGGAAGTGACCATTGACACACTCTGTGCACTTTTTTTGTTCACGCGTTTTCAGTTCACCTGGCGTTTAGTTTTTTTGTACTACATCGTGGGCTTCCAAAGAAAAAAAATAGCCAACACATCACCCTGCCCTGCACTGTATTATATCTTAATTCCATAGAAGTCAAAATATTTTTATGAGCTCAAGCCATAATGCAGTGCAGGGTGGGGTAGTGTTAACTATTAAAGTTATCAAATTATATATTTGTAACATACGCATTGATAAACATTTTTTTGTATGTGTTTATTTAGTGAATAAAAATACACATTTTATGTATATATTTATTGATCCCAGTCTGTGTCAGCCAGGGATCTCTATGAGTTCCCTGATGAGTTATAACCAGGAAGAGGTGGCATGTTCTGATCCTAGTCCAATCTAACCTGAGCAAGCCCACCAGGAAGCTATCACCTGTACTGGGCCAATTGAGGCATTCTCCAACCCACAGCCACTCCTATACATGGCCCTTGTATGTGGATGTGGGGTGGGGAATGCCATAGATGATTGCCCCAGACAGTTGACAGTTCCTGGCGGGTTTGCGTAGGTGGTTTCAGACCCAGGATCCAAATGTGCCTGAACTAGTCTCTAGTGATAACACTGGTGTATTGACACACTTTTGTGGGGTCTGTATGTTTTTTAAGTCTCTTCCACGCAGTCATATGAAAATGTAGCATTAGTAGGCAGAATCCTGTGTACACAGTGCTCTGTATGCACGTAACATATCAGCAACATTTAATCACCTTCAGCATCACAGCATACATGGTTCTGTTGCTAGGATGCAGGTTACTTCTCAGTTAAGCTACCTAATTCCTTTGGTGGTGTCTCAGTGAGGCACCCTCATGCTCTACATTTGCTAGGATGCAGGTGGCTTATCAATGGAGCCACCTAATGCCCTTTGGTTGCTGGGACGCAGGTGACTTCTCATTAAAGCCACCTAGTGCCTTTCAGCTACTAGGATGCAGGTGGGTTCTCAGTGAAGCCACCTAGCACCCAAGCCACCTAGCGCTTTTCAGTTGCTAGGTTGCAGGTGGCTTCTCAAGGAACATTGTAGAAAAAGTCATCCAGCATCAGTCCCCTAATGCCTTAATGCACTTTCAACACTTTGCTATCTTACCCGTAACCATTGTGGCCTGATGGTCATCTTCTGAGGCACCTTCCTTGTTATAATCTATTCGGGCACCAATGCATAGACTGCCAAATTTGAACCGATAACAGCCACGTTCCCCAAATATTTCCTCCTGAATGTTCATAGTGACTGTACCCTCTAAGTCACCAGATGGCGCTTTACCTATCAGCATAGCCTCCCTGGCGGTATTCCCGAGTGTAGTTTGGGGTAAAGTTTCAGTACCACAAGTGGTAACCCTGAGCTACACTCGGGCTTACCATACGGCGCTGCTCCGGGATCCCTCAATCACTTACCTTGTCCTGAGTTCCCGCAATGTCCCTCCTGCAGTGTCCCCAGCAATGTAATCCGGCGGATGCCGGTATCTGTCATCTGGGTTCCGTCACCCTGCGAGCGTCGGGACGTATGGGGGACGGAACGGCGGGAAATTTGAAAATGACAAAAAGTGACATTCACTAAAATCACATAGTATTACATTACTGTATCAAACCATTTCACATACATTTTGTCCCGAGTGCTTTGTCCTGTGCCTGCCTGCATTTTTACTGTTCTTTCTGCCTGGAAACTGAGAAACCTCCATGGTGTCCAAAAAGTGTCCCTTTAGGTCAAAAGCGGTTTTAGACCAGCTAGAGAACAGCAATAGTAAATTAGAACCACTTGCAGAATTGAGTGATAATGATTCGTGGGGGAAATTCGTGATCAGACACTGAAAACGATTTTGCGACTTTGCTCAATGATGTGCGAACTTGGTGCTATATTTCAAATTTCAGTGTTTTTGGTTTGATTACATTATTGAATTAAATTTATTATTATTATGTTATTATTTTTTATGCTTATTTATTAAATTATAATTTTTATGATTTTGTGTTTCAAGTTTTATCCTACCCGGGATGTTTACTAGACTCTTGTTCGGACAGATTTCAGTGAGTTATTCCTAAAAATTACAGGCCTACAAAAAAAAAAACATTTCCATGCAAAAAAATGTACCGCTTTGAGCACAGAAATATGGATATAATCAGACTGCTAGGGAGGTTAATTCCATCCATGGCTCTAATCGTTTATCTGATGTCCAGATATGATTGTGCTCCTTTGATCTACTGGCTACTTCCGCATAACCTTTATTAGGGTGGCTGGACATTAAGCTGTATCTGATCCTTCCCTGAAGCTTTAGTTTCTTCATATTGCATGACTGGCTGAGGCATATAAAATGTCAATACTTCAATAAATATGGTTATGTCTATACCTGATTTTTCAACCTCTCATACACCCTTCATTGATAGCAACAATTTGGTTGCGTTTGTTGATTCAGAGTCTATTGATATATCATTCAGGGGACTTGACATTGTGCAATTTCAACATCTAACCCAGGGTTTCCTCATTTTTGAGTGACAACGTTGTCATGTTTTTAATAGGTGACGGGTGGAGACATTGTTTGATCTTTTTATATACAATTGCATAAACATTTATATGTGCTTTCAATAACACTATTATTTCAGTTAAACTACTTGGGTCATTTAGTAAGTACCTTCTTTCCTCATGGGGGCTTTCCCCCCATAAACATTTTTTTCAGTGCATTTTTGGGTACCGCGACCCACACCCAATTGGTGAAGTTAGAAAATGGAATAATTATTGCTATTACTATTTCCCCTATGTGGTGTCACTGTTTGTTATTCAGTTTCGCCTACTTTGTATACTTTATATTACATTTAGATCTTCAGTGCCACAGATTTAAAGTACATGGATAACAGTGATACCATATGATAACCATATAAACAGAAAGGCAGTACTTATCAAAAGGAACCTCAAAGTACCTGAGTGCTGGCTTTTACTTTACATGGCTTTTCAAGGAAATCACCTAATGTCCTTCTGTTGCTAGGATACAGGCGGCTTCTCAATGAATGCATCTAGTGTTCTTTCCGTTGCTAGGATGCAAAAAGCTCCAATGCAGTGCATTTGCAGTGTAAGCCAAACATTTACATATATATATATATTTTAAATTACTGACCACAAATGCAAAATATTAAAATGTTTATGGATCTGTATGCAGTATAAGTTTACTGATCTTTAAAAACTATACAGCTGTGTTCAGATCTGGGAGAATTTGTGCATGACCCTTTAATCAGG